CTAGAAGACAGAAGAAAAAGAGGTGATATGATCACTACATACAAAATAGTAACAGGAATTGATAAAATCGACAGGGAAGACTTCCTGAGACCTGGAATTTCAAGAACAAGAGGTCATAGATTTAAACTAGCTAAACACAGATGCCGAAGAAATATAAGAAAATTCACCTTCGCAAATAGAGTGGTAGACGGTTGGAACAAGTTAAGTGAGAAGGTGGTGGAGGCCAAGACCGTCAGTAGTTTCAAAGCGTTATATGACAAAGAGTGCTGGGAAGACGGGACACCACGAGCGTAGCTCTCATCCTGTAACTACACTTAGGTAATTACACTTAGGTAATTACAGGGAATAGCTCAACTGACAGCTGAAGCTTACAAGGTCTGCTTGAAGCACGTACCTGTGAGGAGGGGCAGAAAGAGGACCACTCTAGAAAGAGAACGGAGACGACTGTACAGGAGAAGGAAAAAATAACGGAAATGCTTCGGCAGACACAACTATCACAAGCAAGGAAAACAAGCCTAAGCAGGGAGATTGAGGAAATAGAACAAACGTTGAAGCGATCATATGAGTCTGAGGAAATGGAATTGGAACAAAAAGCTATACAAGAGATAAAGAAAAATCCGAAATATTTTTTCACATACGAAAAATCAAAATCCAAAACCTCGACCAGTATTGGACCGTTAATTACAAATGAAGGTACGTACACAGAGGACAACAAAGAGATTAGTGAAATTCTAAGAAGCCAGTATGAGGCTATGTTTAGCACACCAATAAACAACATGAAAGTTGATGACCCAGACAGCTTCTTTATGAATGACATTCAAGCTGCAGATAATATAACGGATATTACCACAAACTCGGAAGACTTTGAAAGAGAAATTGACAATATGCCTATGCACTCAGCTCCTGGGCCTGACTCATGGAATTCAATATTCATAAAGAAATGTAAAGTACCAGTAGCGAGAGCACTCAGCGTAATATGGAGAAAGAGCCTGGATACAGGGGAGATACCAGCAGCACTTAAATCTGCAGATATAGCTCTGTTGCACAAGGGGGGGGGGAGTAAAGCCTTGGCAAAAAATTATAGGCCAGTTGCACTAACATCACACATAATAAAAGTGTTTGAAAGAGTGATTAGGAATCAAATTTCTAGTTTTATGGAAAACAATGAATTGCACAATCCAGGACAACATGGATTTAGAGCGGGAAGATCCTGTCTGTCACAGTTACTCAACCACTATGACAAAATCACAGAAGCCCTAGAAGAAAAGCAAAATGCAGATGTTGTATACACAGACTTTGCAAAGGCGTTCGACAAATGTGACCATGGGGTGATAGCTCACAAAATGAGGTCAATGGGAATAACTGGAAAAGTAGGACGCTGGATACTCAATTTCCTGTCGAACAGAACACAAAGAGTAACAGTCAATCAGATAAAATCGAGTCCAAGCGATGTTAAAAGCTCTGTACCTCAAGGTACAGTCCTTGCACCGCTACTGTTCCTTATTCTCATATCTGATATAGACAAAAATACACGTCACAGCTTCGTGTCGTCCTTTGCAGATGACACAAAAATCAGCATGAAAATTACCTCTGCTGAAGACATTGAAAAACTACAAGCAGATGTCAACAAAGTTTTCGATTGGGCAGCAGAAAATAACATGATGTTTAACAGTGATAAATTTCAGGTACTCAGGTACGGCAAAAATGAGGATCTGAAACATAATACAGGGTACAAAACACAATCGAATCTTCCCATAGTAGAAAAACAGCATGTCAAGGATTTGGGAATAATGATGTCCGACGATCTAACGTTTAGGGAGCATAACCAAGCAAATATCGCGTCAGCCAGAAAAATGATCGGATGGATTACGAGAACTTTCAAATCCAGGGATCCCATCACAATGGTTGTACTCTTCAAGTCACTTGTGTTGTCCCGTCTCGAGTACTGCTCAGTACTCACTTCCCCCTTCAGAGCAGGAGAGATTGCTGAAATAGAGGGAATACAGAGAACATATACGGCACGCATAGACGAGATAAAACACCTAAATTATTGGGATCGTCTCAAAGCTCTCCAAATGTACTCTCTAGAAAGGAGACGAGAGAGATACCAAATAATATACACATGGAAAATACTGGAGGGTCAGGTCCCAAATCTACACAGTAAAATAACAACGTACTGGAGTGAACGATATGGAAGAAAATGCAAGATTGAACCAGTGAAGAGCAGAGGTGCCATAGGCACAATCAGAGAGCACTGTATAAACATCAGAGGTCCGCGGTTGTTCAACGTCCTCCCAGCGACTATAAGAAATATTGCCGGAACAACCGTGGACATCTTCAAGAGAAAACTGGACGGTTTTCTAAGAGAAGTTCCGGATCAGCCGGGCTGTGGTGGGTATGTGGCCCTGCGGGCCGCTCCAAGCAACAGCCTGGTGGACCAAACTCTCACAAGTCGAGCCTGGCCTCGGGCCGGGCTTGGGGAGTAGAAGAACTCCCAGAACCCCATCAACCAGGTATCAACCAGGAACATCTCCCTCACCAAAATGGTTCCTCCCAACATACTCCTTCTGCTGTTATTACACTCCTATATACACATGTTATATATAAATATCAACATTTGTGTTCACCATAGCGACCCACTAAGTGGGTATGGTGAGTTCAGACAATAACAGGTTGCCACACACCAGCCAGCAGACAAAGCTACCTCCCTCCTTCACCAAGATACTCCTCCCACCATACTACACACATCGCTAATTATCACCACAGTCCTGCTATTATCAGAATCCTAGTCACTAAATCATGTAAATGAATAATTTTCCAAAAGTTTATTTTGTAAAGGAACATGAGAAGTCGTTTGACGATTCTTAGTAGAACGAAATAATGGCAGTGTGCTGTGGCTAGTGCTCTGAACATCTTGAACAGCATTGATTCACTGATATCTGAACATTGTACACAGTCTTTATCACAGTCAAGCTCTTCTGTAATACTATCATGGCTAAATAATACCACTTACATATATATTTTTCACAGTTTTAGGCGATGCTGTGGTCACAAGCTGAACAGCGTTGCTGTTAGCTCATGCTGCATGCGCCAGCCTTGGTTGCTCAAACAGTACTGAGGCTCTCACACCCGGGAATGTTGCCCATGATTTTTTTTTAAATGACATCTGTTTGCAAGAGCCCTGAGGAAGCTGATGTGATTCCCCATGTAGCCGTGGGAGTCTTGAATGATACGTTATACCTACGAGCGCCCTGGAGGTGCTGGAGGTGCTAGATCAGTGGTGCGCAGGGCGCTCATCACATCGCACTAGATCAGTGGTGCGCAGGGCGCACATCACATCGCACTATATCAGTGGTGCACAGAGCGCACATTACATTGCACTAGATCAGTGGTGCATCCTAGGTGCTCTGCGCAGTGCAGTGGTTAATGGCGACATGGTATGCCTCATGTTGCATAGGGAATGTGTTGAAATTTCTCCTTTACCTTGGAATTTATCCATTCCGGGTGGCTTGCCCAGCATCCTAACCACTTGACATAATTCACTATGTGGCCATAAAAGATCAATTCACTCATTAGGGATGATTGAATTGGAGCACAAGCGGGTAATAAGTCCAACAGGACTCTAGGCCATAGGTGTCCTGACACAACAGGCACCATTGGCAGAGGTAGAATAGATGATCCTCACACTGAGGCACGGGCGACGAACAACCTCAAATTCGCACAAGGTAAGAGTTGGCTCAGAAGTAGTATCCATGGTACATCCAAGCTCACAGAGGTTTTCCAGAGCCCGTAAGGTGAATGACCCCCTACAGGAAGCCCAGGAACTGGGGCCCAGCTAAGCTGGTAAATCCTGTCGATGCAGGCAAATTAACCGGTGTAAAGCCATGAGAGCAACAGAAGAGGACCACCACCATACCCTAGGGAGAGCTTGATGAGGTGCTAAACAACACTCCTTTGCAAAACAGCTGAAAAATCCCAGTAAACAAAAACAAAACTCCCAAAACTCCACAACAGCCAACAAGTAGTTGAAGAGAAACATCAGCCACTGTGTGATAGCTTAGGCTGGCTGTGCCAGCTGCAGTGAGGCCTACCACTCGCTGATAAACACTCCCCTACCCGGAGCAAGGCAGAAAGCCTAAGACCCCCCCCCCCACTTACCCCATGGGTGAAGACAACCACAAGCAGGAAAGTCCTCTAACGAGGAGTGAATTCCGAACACCCCAAGGAAGAGAACCCTGACCACTCAAGGGCAGTACTCACGGAGTGCCTACGGGAGATGTTTCTAAATCCATGCAGCTCTGGTACTCGGAAACTTCTGGCCAGTGCACACCTCAAGTGCAGGAGCAGCCTCACAATGCAAGTCTCAAAACAGGAAAAGAAATTGTGGCCAGAGACGACATCCAACCACCAAGCACATCAGTCAAGAACTGAGGAGTGCAGCCCATCCTCCAAAAATGGGGAGGAAAATGTAACAGCCCCATAAGTGCAATTATGTACTATGTACGACAGTCAGAAATTGTACTTATTTACACTTATTATTAAATCATAGTCAAATATATTGTGAATATTTGAGTTTACCTGAAAAGCTGAATAGAAAACCACGACCTAACCTAACCATCATAGTTTTTAAAGATAAACATTTTATTGCTTCTTAATTACAATTACAGTACTACTTAACCTATAGCTATATTGATATGACAGTTTTATAAAACAAATAAAACAAAACTAAAATATTTAAATAAATTTTAAAGTAACTCAGGATATTTTCAAATTTTGTATAAAATCTTTATTGTTTAATAAAACTGAAAAAGAAATTCCTGATATTTAAAACTTGTGTATAGCGAACTGAACTTTAAAACTTCATCCTAAAATTCTGAGTGTCTTAACAGAAAATGAGGAGAATTAAATGGGGAGGTAAATGTAACAGCCCCATAAGTGCAATTATGTACTATGTATGACAGTCAGGAACTGTACTTATTACACTTAGTATTAAAACGTACTGTCAATTCGGAGGATGGGTTGAGGAGTGGGTATCTTGGCTCCCCCTCCCCCAGATGGTGGTGCTAACGAGCGGAAGGCTAGTTGGACAAAGTGTTGCTTGTTTTTCTTCTGGGGGATTTCTTTTGCTATTTTGAGGATGTGCATTGCAATTTTCAACCACACAGTGGTCTCTTTTGTTTTGCATACCTTTCTGGGTGCCTTCCCTGGATGATGGCAAGTATGTTATACTTTAACCCATGGGCGGCGCTGCTGCTAATAGACGACACCACAGCTGTGCATAAGGAAAAAAAACAGCGTTGAATGTAATGAAACGCCTTTTTCTGGGTGAGACCCGGAGGCTACCCGGAGCTATCCAAGCTATGTATATTATTAGACTTTGGCTTCAGTGTGAATAGAGTTCTAGACCTACCAGGGACCATGAGCCAGAACCTGGCCTTCTCAGAGAGGCACGAGGAGCAATGGCCTATCAAAGTGCACATGTGTTTGGAGCATTCCATGTCTGCCATCGACCGAGCCAGGCACCCAGATATGTAAGCGCCTCAAAACAAACCCCTATTCTGGTTAAAACTACAACAGAAAGCTAACAAGTGGACAGAACTCCCCAAATGAAAAACGAGCATGACGTCACACTTGCCGCGCCGCTTGTCTGTGCAGCTCCCCCTCCCCGGGAGGGGAAAGGGGGAGCCCCAGACCCATCATGCCAGCCAGTTCTAGGCTGGCTGTCAAAACACACAAAAAAAATGCCGACTGGGGGGGAGAGAAGGTTGCTGGGGAGCCTCCGGGTCTCACCCCAAAAAAAATGACGTTTCATTACATTCAACGCTGGTTTTCTACGAGGAGCCCCTTCAGCTCCCTGGAGCTACATCACAAAAAGATAAAAACGAAGAGGATTTACCTGGGAGGCAGTCAACACTTGTTCACAGACCCAACTAGGCCCAGGAACAGTTACTAGGTAGCGTGCAGCTAGGACCCTGTTTGACCACCAAAAACCTTGTGCCCGAATGTCAGCCCAAGACATGTTACCAAAGATGGCAGCAAGCGCCGCATACCTAAAAAAGACCTAAAAAAGGCTTTCGACAGAGTTCCACATAAGAGGTTGTTCTGGAAACTGGAAAATATTGGAGGGGTGACAGGTAAGCTTCTATCATGGATGAAAAATTTTCTGACTGATAGAAAAATGAGGGCAGTAATCAGAGGCAATGTATCGGAATGGAGAAATGTCACAAGTGGAGTACCACAGGGTTCAGTTCTTGCACCAGTGATGTTTATTGTGTACATAAATGATCTACCAGTTGGTATACAGAATTATATGAACATGTTTGCTGATGATGCTAAGATAATAGGAAGGATAAGAAATTTAGATGACTGTCATGCCCTTCAAGAAGACCTGGACAAAATAAGTATATGGAGCACCACTTGGCAAATGGAATTTAATGTTAATAAATGTCATGTTATGGAATGTGGAATAGGAGAACATAGACCCCACACAACCTATATATTATGTGAGAAATCTTTAAAGAATTCTGATAAAGAAAGAGATCTAGGAGTGGTTCTAGATAGAAAACTATCACCTGAGGACCACATAAAGAATATTGTGCAAGGAGCCTATGCTATGCTTTCTAACTTCAGAATTGCATTTAAATACATGGATGGCGATATACTAAAGAAATTGTTCATGACTTTTGTTAGGCCAAAGCTAGAATATGCAGCTGTTGTGTGGTGCCCATATCTTAAGAAGCACATCAACAAACTGGAAAAGGTGCAAAGACATGCTACTAAGTGGCTCCCAGAACTGAAGGGCAAGAGCTACGAGGAGAGGTTAGAAGCATTAAATATGCCAAAACTAGAAGACAGAAGAAAAAGAGGTGATATGATCACTACATACAAAATAGTTACAGGAATTGATAAAATCGACAGGGAAGACTTCCTGAGACCTGGAATTTCAAGAACAAGAGGTCATAGATTTAAACTAGCTAAACACAGATGCCGAAGAAATATAAGAAAATTCACCTTCGCAAATAGAGTGGTAGACGGTTGGAACAAGTTAAGTGAGAAGGTGGTGGAGGCCAAGACCGTCAGTAGTTTCAAAGCATTATATGACAAAGAGTGCTGGGAAGACGGGACACCACGAGCGTAGCTCTCATCCTGTAACTACACTTAGGTAATTACACTTAGGTAATTACCTACAAATGTCATGGGCATGGGAATAGACCGCAGGCTGGCTGGAACAAATAACCCTGCGGACAACCTGAGAGACCCGAATCCTGGAACAAGAAGGGAATCTGGATTAACCCAAAGCGCGTCCCTTGTCACAGAAGCCGTTGTGCGCAAATAACGGCGGAAAGCCGCAACCAGACACAACACATGATGTACCCCAGGCCTGACCAACCGAGCATCAACAACCCAAGGACCCCTCCAGAATGCAGCATTCTCATTCTTCGCCAGAAAAGAAGGAGACGGCTGCAACTGAACAAACCTATCTCCACGACCGAAAGAACAGAAACCCCTACGCCGGAAGAGAGCATGAAGCTTCCCGACCCGACCCTCAGAGGGCAATGCCAACAAGAAAAGAACTTTGAAAAACAATCCTCAACTGAAGGGGCCACCACAAACCGAGAAGAAGAGATATAAGAGAGAACCCGATCCAAAGACCAGGACGGCTCAAGCAGTGCATGATCAGGCCAGAGGTGAAACAATGCACGAGACAGCCTGTGAAATGGAGCAGAAGTAACATTAATGCCGAACGCAAGCTGCAGCGGCTCCGCCAATGCTGCACGATACGAAGCAACAGTATTCAGCACAAGATGATGGTCCTGAAACAACCACGAAAGAAAAGACAAAACAACTTTAAAGAAAGTGAAGTATAACGCCAAAGAGACAAAATGAACTAGAAGGACCGCCAGGAAACTTCCTACTGCTGTCGAGACAAAGCCCACAGGTGGGGACACCATCAAAAAAGCCACCCGATCACCATACAGATGGTGATAGAGTTGAGTAAAAAAGACCAGACGTGAAGACTCGAGAAGATCAAACCACACCTGATCACCATACAGATGGTGATAGACTCGAGTAAAAAAGACCAGATGTGAAGACTCGAGGAGAAGAGCGAACCAGTCTCGTAACGGACCGTACCGATATGCTGAAAGCGGCAGAGCCGCGGGAAAACCTCCAGGTTCAGACACCAAGCAAGCAACGCCTGAAACCAAGGCTGGGCCAGCCACCATGGGGCCAAGAGAACAACTCTTCCCTGGTACAGGAACAGAAGATACAGTAACCCCCACCTTGACCAGTCCTGCCGGAAGGCATCGATCCAGATGACCTCGCAGTCGAGAAAGGGTGCCACATATACCGGAAGACGCCTCGATCTTGCCGACATGAAGAGGTCTACCTCCGGACGTCTGAACGTCTGGCAGAGCCAACAGAATGAGTCGGCATAGATCGTACATTCCGTGGGCAGGGGAATGAACCGGGGACAGGCAATCCGCCAAGACGTTGGACACCCCCCGGAAGTGAATGGCCAGGAGAGCCAAACCCTGAAAACTCAGCAGACAAATCAATCGTAGTAATCAGCCCAAAGAGCCAAGGACCACATAGAACCCCCTCAGTTCAGGCAACGAACCACCGGGGAGCAGTCCAAATGATGCTGGATCGTCGATTGCAGGCGACCCAAAGTGAATACCACACCGCCGCAAACTCCCGACCTGTGCTGTGGGCCTGACGGAAGAACAGACTGCACCGCTCCTGGCCTACCTGGTGAGCACTGGTCACAGAGCCCCAGCCCAGAGACAATGTGTCTGTTAACGCATCAAGCGAGGGCTCGGGTTGGCGCCGAGGCACTGAACCCCGAAAAACCCGAAGAGGAAGCCGGCGACGCAGCAGCCGACACAATGCCCCCAGGGGGTCGAACCTAGCGATTGCAAGAGAAGCGAAAGGGACATCCCCAAAGGAATCAGAACAGCCGACAAAGCCAAACCCAACCTGGCGGGTAGACCATCATCACAAAGTCCTGGATCCCGCGCAAACCTCTCGAGCAACTGCCGGGTGACCCGGGAGCACCCCAGAAACAAGCACATACAGGACTGCAGCCGAAGGAGAGACTCCAGAGGGAGAGACAAGGAAACGGTCTGAGAGTCCCACACAAGACCCAGCCAGGTCCGAACCTGGGAGGGGACCAGATGGGACTTCGTGTAGTTCACCAGGAACCACAACACTGCATCCCGCAGGATCGACACAAACAGCTTCAACAGCACACAAGCCACCAAGACAAAGGCAGCAGACCCAGGAATAGCCCCAAGCGCCTCTACATCCTCCGCAAGCCAATCCGAAGACAGCTCAAGGAGGGAAAAGAAGCACAAGACTGAAGCCAGCAAGCCAGGAGCGCGCAAGTCCTCAGCCACAAGCGCAGCCGACAGGGAGGGAACCTGCACATGAAGTTAAACCCCACAAACATCCCTCAGAAGTGCAGGGGCAAACAAACACGCACTGAGGTGTTCAAAGTCGCCCCTCCTAGGTAAACCTGGACCACTATCAATGCCTCATACCACTCAAGCCTGCAGGTACGACAAAGTACTCCACGCATCCAACGACAACAACGGGCAGTTCTCAAGCCAAGACTACTCGGGAACCTAATATCAGCCTGAATAGCTCCGGGGCTTCCCCCAGAAAAAAAGTTCTTTCTTCTAAGATTGTTAACCACTGTGCTGCGCCAACCGAGAAAACTCGGTCGGTTGGAAACTGCGCCAATCGAGAAAGGTACCCATTCAAAATGTGCGCGCGGTAAGTTGTGTACGAAATGGACTCGTAGGACCGCCAGTGAGAGGCAGCCATCTTGGAAAAAAAATCCCAGAATGCCCTAAGGCTGCTGGCTTTGTTAGTACTGAGTGAGCAACCAAGGGTGGCGCATGCGCTCCTGGCTCCCAAACACCTGTCCGACGCGATGTTGAAAGATCGCGCTATTTCGGTGAAATTTAGACCTTATTGTTTGAAGAACATAAGGGTCATGATATTGGTGAAGCTAGGTGCAATAAGGACCTAACACAAAGGTCGGATGCAAGTGATACAGCACCTATGAGGATGATACAGCGAGCGTATCCAATTGTAGCTCTGAGCGCCATCCATGCCCACTAATGCCATCTCCAATTTATATAGATGATACATAGATAATTATTTTCTGGGTTCAGTGAAGATGCATCTGATACAAGTATCATAGATGAACAGTGTTAGTGGCTTCCATGGTGGTGTTTTCCATAGATATTTTCAAGAATAGCTGAC